ACAGAACTGGCAAATCTGGAACATCTTAATCTATTCAACAACCACATAAAGGTTTGTATTATGACATTACAACCATATACCAGTAGTCATGCATATATTTCACAATTCTACATCTTATATATATATTGTACATTTTGAGTTTGATGATTTTATTACCTTGAGAAACATTGTCACATACATATATAATTTAATGAAATATTACCAAGATTTCTTTTTTATTAATTGTTTTTGCTTCAAATAAATAAATTTATATATTTTAACTGCACCACAATTTTGTATTTCAATTGATGACTTTTTGTTTTAATTGTAGGAGCTTCCCAGCACCTTAAATTCCTTAATGAAACTGAAGATACTTAATGTTGGGTATGTGTTGACAACTTTTCTACATTTGTCATGCTTATGTGCTATTCTTCTGATTACTGAGCTGTGCATGGATAAACTAGAATTTGTCACACAAGTTTTTGAGAGACTTCCTGAGTCTTGATAATTCATCTGATTTAACACTTCTAAAGTCAATATAAAGTAGAGGAAGGGTTTTTTGCTATTTTAAAAGATTTACTTGTTTGTAGTTAAGTTAAGCAGAGTATGTATGAAATGGTGATGGCTTATTACACATATTTTAGAATGAATAAGTTGAACATGTTACCTCGTGGATTTGGTGCCTTCCCAGCCCTAGAAGTTCTGGATCTGACATATAACAACCTCAGTGAAAAATCCCTCCCTGGAAATTTCTTTTGTTTGGGTAAGCTCAAATGTTTTCAATAATGCTATTGTGACTGCAAATTTAAGAGTTGACAGTTGTACATATACAGTTTAACTTTGGCATTTCAAATACAGATATCGCGATTACCATGGTTGTAATTTTGAAGTCCCAACGCTTTTTAGCTCACCTGAGCCGAAGGCTCAAGTGAGCTTTTCTGATCAAAATTTGTCCCTCATCTGTCTTCGTTGTCGTTTTTGTTGTCGTAAACTTTTCACATTTTCATCTTCTTCTCAAGAACCACTTGACCAATTTCAACCAAACTTGCTACAAAGTATTCTTGGGTAAAGGGAATTCAAGTTTGTTCAAATGAAGGGCCACGCCCTTTTCCAAGGGGAGATAATTATGAATTAGAGAAAAATTAATGGCATTTTAAAAAAAAATCTTCTTCTCAAGAACCACAGGACCAGGAAAGATAAAACTCATGTGGAATCATCCTCAGGTAGTGTAGATTCAAGTTTGTTCAATTCATGACCCCCGGGGGTAGGGTGGGGCCAAAATGGCCGATCAAAGTTTTACATAGGAATATATAGGAAAAATCTTTAAATATCTTTTTCTCAAGAACCACTGGGCCAGGAAAGCTGAAACTCATGTGGAATCATCCTCAAGTAGTGTAGATTCAAGTTTGTTCAAATCATAACCCCCGGGGCTAGGGTGGGGCCATAATGGCCGATCAAAATTTTACATAGGAATATATAGGAAAAATCTTTAAAAATCTTCTCAAGACTCACTGGGCCAGGAAAGATAAAACTCATATGGAATCATCCTCAGGTAGTGTAGATTCAAGTTTGTTCAAATCATGACCCCTGGGGGTAGGGTGGGGCCAAAATGGCCGATCAAAGTTTTACATAGTAATATATAGGAAAAATCTTTAAAAATCTTCTTCTCAAGAACCACTAGGCCAGGAAAGCTGAAACTCATGTGGAATCATCCTCAGGTAGTGTAGATTCAAGTTTGTTCAAATCATGACCCCCAGGGGTAGGGTGGGGCCAAATGGCTGATAAAAGTTTTACATAGGAATGTATAGGAAAAATCTTTAAAAATCTTCTTCTCAAGAACCATTGAGACAGGAAAGATGAAACTCATGTGAAATCATCCTCAGGTAGTGTAGATTCAAATTTGTTCAAATCATGACCCCCGGGGGTAAGGTGGGGCCAAAATGGCCGATCAAAGTTTTACATAGGAATGTATAGGAAAAATCTTTAAAAATCTTCTTCTCAAGACTCACTGGGCCATGAAAGATGAAACTCAAGTGGAATCATTTTCAGGTAGTGTAGATACAAATTTGTTCAAATCATGACTCTTGGGGCTAGGGTGGGGCCAAAATAGCCAATCAATGTTTTACATAGGAATATATAGGAAAAATCTTTAAAAATCTTCTTCTCAAGAACCACTGGGCCAGGAAAGATGAAACTCCTGTGGAGTCATCCCCAGGTAGTGTAGATTCAAGTTTATTCAAATCATGACCCCTGGTGGTAGGGTGGGGCCAAATGGCGATAAAAGTTTTACATGGAATATACATGTATAGGGAAACCTTTTAAAATCTTCTTTTCAAGTACTTCAAAGCCATGCTTAATGACATTTATAGGGAATCATCCTCAGGTAGTGTAGATTCTAGTTTGTTCAAATCATGACCCCCTGGGGGGTTAAAATTCAAGCGCCCCAAGCACCCCCCTCCCCCCACCCAACCTAAGTAAACTTTCAGTTCTGATCTGATATGTGCTTTTTCCTAGCCAATTGCTCAGGTGAGCGATGTGGCCCCTGGGCCTCTTGTTTCTTTTACACTTAATATTTCAAATCCTTGAATCTCAACGTTTTTTCTTGGTCACCATAAGAATTATTTTAAAAGTACACAAACTTGTAAAATCTTCTTTTTCCCAGACACATTAAGGGCCCTCTATCTTGGAGACAATGATTTTGAATATCTGCCCCCAGAAATAGGAAAACTAAAAAATCTACAAATTGTAAGTATTTACAAAAGTACAACACAGATGAATGTATTATGGAATTAAAAGAAAATATTAACCACTAAGGAAATTATTTCTTTAATGTCAATAAAAATTTATTATTCAGATTGTCCCTCTTTTTCTTTGATGGTGCCCTTCAGATTCTTTACATTAACAATATGATCGTATTTGTTTGATTTCAGCTCTGTTTGAGAGAGAATGATTTAGTAGCATTACCAAAGGAAGTGGGAGATCTGCCTCGTCTGAGAGAATTACACATACAGGGAAACAGACTGACAGTGTTACCACCAGAAATAGGTAGCTATCTACAATTCTCAGGGAAAGTGTGGTTATACTTGATAATATTTAGATGTATTGTCGATTCCTTATGTGTAGGGATAAACACCCAAGTAAAATTATGGAGATCATAATTGTTTTGTTTTTATACAAATTTAAGATTTACAGGAAATAATAAGAATATTCAATAAATCATGCCTTATTTTGTCATTTTCACCACAAATCCATTAAGAATTGTGAAATAACTAACTTTTTGGAAATTAATTTTTGTTGTTTTCTTCATCTAAGGACTCCCACTATTTACACTGTACAATGTATGTCCACCACAAAATGTTTAAATTTCATTTCATATTTGTCCGAGTCAAGTGTACTTTGTTGTCTTTGTTCTCTAGCTTTGAATTTAACTTGTGTATGGTTCTAGTCACTCATGTATTATCTAAGTATGTTGATTTTGATTACAGGTAATTTAGATCTAGTTGGATCTAAACAGGTATTCCGTGGAGAAAACAACCCTTGGGTGACACCCATAGCTGACCAGTACCAAGTGGGCGTTTCCCATGTGTTTGACTATATTCGATCAGAAACATATAGATTGTAAGTGGCACTTGTAATGTCTCATTACATAATACATATTTATTGTTAAATTTGTAAGAGATTGAAGTTTAATTGAAGAAACAGATCATTATTTTTAGTTTTAATCCATATACATATAAAATATAAGAATTCTTGACCTGCAGACTTGAATTATTAAATTTATTTTTTTTCAGTTTATATGGCCGTCATATTGCCGCTGATTCTCCTCCGCCAAATAAACCTGCTGATAAATCAAAGAAGATTAGTCGAATGGGCTGAACCAATGAAATACATCGAGGAGAATGTGTAAACAAGACCAGAAATCATCTTATTATAATACTCAAAGCTACAGGTTTACATATAGAGTAGCCATTGTGTGTAAATGTCCAACCATTTGTTACAATGAAAATTATGCCTTTTTTCTTTAGGAAACATAATTAAATTGTATTTATGGCATAGTAGGAGCTACAGAGCTTAAAACTTCCAAATGTACAGAAGAATTTTTTTTCAATGCTGGTGCTATGTTGTCTTGGGGTACTTAAACATTGTATTATTGATACCCATTAAACCCCATTATACATGTAAGGGGTATTCCATGTAGATTGTGTTTTATCTCCCATGAAAAATTAAATACTAGAAGTATTATAAATAATATTTCATAAATAATATTTTCATGCTTGTATTTCTTTATAAAGCTTTTGAAAGCTATTTTATAACAATTGCTGCAATATTGACTGATAGTCTGAAATATTGCTCATGCTTTCATCTTTATATGCTATAAATTCAGATATAGAATCTGTTGAAGACTGGATGTTTTTTCATGCATCATATTTTTCTTTCATCTTATTTAAATCCAAATTTCTATGTCCCAGGGTTGTTGCTGTAAGCTAATAATCCCAGTAGTAAGGGAAACTTAACAATTGTTTCTGACATTGTTAAGACTGTGTACTATCTGCTGATTGCATGCTAACTTAATGATTTAAAGAGGGGGAGAAAAGAAAACAAAATAATAGCTACGTGTAATATTACTGCATTTTACAAATGTTTAAAAAAAATCATCATTTAGAGTGAAAAGTTTTATACAAAATTTTTCTATCATTTATGAATGCATTCTTGTATGTGATATTTTTATATATTTAAATTGTGTACATGTATCACGTATTATATACAGTGTAATTACATTACATTATAACAAATAAAATATCTGATATGTAAATGTTTTCTTATTGCTTTCTTGATTAAGTGATATATGTCCTCCAGTATTACATGTACTTTTGGATGGACCCCCTCTCTCCATGCTTGAAGTTTATTTTAGATGGATTCTTTTTTCCATGTCTATTGAAATTCTTTCCAAAACATTTTTTCTGACTCCTAAGAATTTGATCAAAACAGTATTCCTGATATGACAAAATACAAATGAAAAAAAAAATTAAGATAATTTATTCTCAACAAAATTAAATTACAATTATAGTCTTTAAATTATTGTTTCATACTGTCTGAAATGACTCTTTCCAGATACATTAATTTGGCAGAGTTGCCTGGATTAGTTGCCCATGTATTGTATGGTATCTGAAAATAAAAATAAGTAGTACAAATCTCAGTTTACCTTGGACTTACACTAAGGTGTGGCATTCTCAGTGTACATAATAAGTGTCTCTCCAATGGCGAAAAGATTCTCATTGGTTCAGAAATAAATAACATCAGGAACTTAAAATTGTTGTTGACAACAATGAGACGACTTAAGCCCCACCCCTTTGCTGTAGGAGAGGCTCTACTGGAAAATTTCTACAAGTTGACATTGGCCAAATTTCTATCCCATGTATATTTCAACAGTGAATGAAAGCTGTGTAAATTTCACATGCTTATTATGTAAGGTCGAGAATGCCACACCTTACTGAAATTCCAAGTTTAACTGAGAATTGTGCTAAAAATTCAATACAGAGTAAATTAATATTTTTGGAATTTTTTTATACTCACTATAATTTTACAAAATACCTTGCACATATGCATATATTTACAAAATACAATTTTATTGTCAGTGAGTACCTACCACCACCACTTTGTATCCTAGAGACTTGAGATGTCGTAAACACATGCTGACATCTCCTGTGGGCTTCATTATAGGTTTAATTGTATTTTGGTATCTTAGAACTTTGATGGCAACCCTGAAATTGCACATTTAAAAGTGTATATGCCATTCAATTTGCAATGCCATTAGCTGCAGAACACTAGCTCTCTGCTTGAGAAAATTCAGACAGAAGAAGCAGAGAGCTACAGATCCATGCGTTATAAAAGCCTTCCATTTATGCGGCCAATTTTTTGTTGCTCACTTGAGGTATTATTTCTTGTATTTTTAACTTTCCCCAGCTTTAAGAATGATATCTGATAATTAATCATGTATGTTGCTTCTATTCTTGATACTCTATTTATCTTTAAATGGGCCCAAACAGCCCTAATGTGGTTTTGGAATGTCAGTTTAAAACATTTTCATTCCGACGTCCATGTTGGAGATTGTGTGTAGAAATATCTTAAAAGGACATATGCTTGTTCCAAATGAGGTAAAATATATGGTAAATTATCATATACCATTCCTAATGCGAGGAAAACAATAAATGCAAGAAATAATACCTAAAGTGAGCAACAAAAAATTGGCGGCGTAAATCGAAGGTTTTTACAATGCATTGATCTGTAGCTCTCTGCATTATCTGTCCAAATTTTCTCAAGCAGAGAGCTACAGTTCAGCAGCTACAATGCCATTGGATTGAAAACATAAATTCATATATTTTTCAACTTTACTTTTTGTACTTAAACCACAACTTGAAAATTCAATGGACTACTTAAAAAAATATATATATACATGCCCAGAAGTTTATTTTTAAAATTATATTAAAGTTTTTAAAGAGGGACGGTACCACATAAAACTGAGTGGAAACTAATATCAAATTGAATGTATGAGATAAGTCCTCACCCTTACAGTGTTTATATAAAAGAAACAGAACAGCAATATTTGATGTTGAAGCTAAAAATATATATACAGTGTAAATCATGATGGAAACTAGTATCAAATTGAATGTTGAAAGTGTAAATCTGTAGTAGAATGATACATACTTCTGAACACTGGATCCTTGAGTACTTGAGAATGGAATTACTTTCCCATTGTTGTCAACCAGCAACAACACATCTGAATTGCACATAACAGACATTAACAGTCATTTAAAAGTTGCTACATATTTTTTTTTTCCATCAATAACTTACTTTGTATGAAATATATTGAATCAGAGCTTGACAGCAAAATTGAAGCTGAAGTTAAATACATATAGAATTTATCACATTAAATTATATGACATTAAACATTTTACCAATTTCATGTCCCTGAGGAGTAAGAATGTTTGTCTGAACATCATCCTCCATGTTCCGGTCCAGAATATGAGCCATTTCTATCACACCTTCTACCGTAGAATCAGGCTGAAATAAAGCACATTCACTAGCTTTAACAGCAAGCCTCCTTATGAATGCAAAAGCCTTTTTCCCCCTTCTCTTTCTGCCATATACTCAGTATACATGTTGCTTAATCAGATTAAACACGTTGTGCTTAGGATATGCTCAAATAATCAGTGCAATATGCAATATTGTATAAAGGGAAATGTTTGCCCTTGTATACTTTGCCCCTCTTGAACATAGTCAGTGGGCATATAAACTGGATTAAATGCAGTAAGACAGAATTATATCCCTTCTGATACAAAGAGCTTGAGAAAGCTTAATACATTAATCTGTGTGGTAGAAAAAAAAACTGTATACAGAGTACCTCTCACCATACATGTATCTAGTTAGTGTAAAATAATATAAAATCACCTTGGAGGTCTTCAGTGGTTTAAGATTTCTTAGATTAGGCTTTGGAAACTGGAAATTAGGAAATGCTATGTTAGCCTCGTATTCCAACTGCCTAATGCTTGGCACCATCGCTGGGAAATTCTCTGTGTGAAAAAAGGAAAAATATTATCAACATGCATATGTCTCAACATTTCAACAAAATCATCCTGTTGTGTATGTCAAATTCTTATACATTTTATGTTTTTGTATTGCATCTCATACAAATTATGCATTAATAATCATCTGGTGAACTTATCGTCACCTATGAATTTCTTTGAAAAGTAAAAAAAAATTATCATGACTTATTTCTCCTTTTCAACAAATGTTTTGTTTCCCTTAATTTACCCTGTTCTTTATGCTGGGTATTTAATGATTATATACATGTATGCCTTTTACAAGTATAAACATTTGATTACCTTGCATGATATTTACAAAATTCTGCTGAAGCACTGTAGACAGAAGGCCTTCATCAGAGAAGTCACTCCAGCCTAGGGCCAATACCATATTGAGCCACAGCTTGGGATTTTCTTTTATTATGCTTGTTGTTCTCAACTGTTCCACCATTTGCAGTATCACATCTTTTTCTTGGCCTGTGAAACACTGAAGTTTACTCATGCTATATATTGCATGACATAGCTGACTTGGGGACAAATGTTCTTGAAATTTGGGGAATTGTGAATTTTGGACAAAAACGTTTTGTCCAGAGGAGGCTTCAACCACCTCAGGTGTGCACAGGACATGAGGACAGAGGAGAGGTCCTTTAAATTCTGTACTGTCCAATCATCTCTCAACTCCCATGACACCTTAGAAACTCTGTCTGACAAAAGCCCTAGCATGGTAGAGTCCTGAATGTTCAGAACACTTAGACTTGTCATGACAGATGCCAATGAACTGAGGGAAACAGTGTCGGTCATTTTCTCTTTAATGCAGTAGGCCAGGGATTTTATTAGAGGTAAGTTTCTTCTTTGGCCTTTGGACAAGGTCTGCAAGGTTTTGATGTTTTCATCCAAACTAAATGTTTGCACTTTTTGTAGAGCTTTCTCCTCCAGATTGTCAAGCATTGAAGTGTCTGATGTCCTCTTACTTTCTTGTAACATTATATTCATCAACGATATGATTTCGGCACCCTTCTCGACCTCCATCCACCTCCTCGAAATGTTCCTGATAATCTTTTCCCTAGCATCAGGACATGCTTTGCTTTGTTTGGACATATCATACAATCCAACTGAAGTTAAAATACTGAGTTTGTTTAAATGATTAAGTATATTTTCCCACACAGCTTTTTCCTGACTAAAACTTAAAAATCGAAATTTCCTATTTAAGGCTAGAATGTTCAGCAATTCATGTTCAGTGTAAATTGTAAAAGCATTTAGGATGCTAGCAAACAGCCCTTTGATTTCCTTACAATAAAGCAGAATCTGTACTTGCTTAGAACTACTGGCTCCTCCTTTCAAGTTGAGACCTTTCAGAATGTTAAGGAAAACTTCAAGATGTTTGTGTTTATCTTCTGTCTTATGTGCCTCTAAAATGGTGTCATATAATTCAGTTGCTTCAGCTTTTCCTCCTGTTTTGTTACTTTCAAGTACATGTAAAATGCACAGGAATGTGGGATCTCCCTCAAATTCATGGGATGAAGTTAATGTGTTTCCATCCAATGTTGCAGGAACGCTGTCAGTTTCCTCTTTTTTGATGGATTCTTTTTTGAACGATTCTGAAGCCTTGATTTTATCAGAACTACTTTTATCAACCTCTGTAGATATAGAACACGAAATGATATTGGGTTGAATATGCTGCTGCCATTTCTCAAGGTGAGGAAATCCTTGGGCGCACCTTCTCACACCCCTGACTGCATGACGCAAAGGAAGTAATTGTCTGAAGGAAAACATCCTTTACGTGATTCTGTAAAAGTATGAAAATATTTTTACTGATGATCCAAATGATGCTATTCTTTGTATCTGACATGATAAAGGATATATGCAAATGTTGCAGAGTAGCAAAATATAAAATGGAATAGATAATTATTTTTATCTACAAATGCAAAATTAAATTTGGATTTCTCAAAAAATGTCAAATTAACTCAAGGTTGGAAGCCAGAAGACATTTCAAAAATTTCGTTGTGGTTGATAACTTTACACAATTACTGTTACATAGCATCCTTTCCTTTTCATTTTGAGGAAATTCGAACTGAAAACATTATGTAAATCCAAAATGATTTTTCTTTCCAAGAATTCTGAACGTATCAATTAAAATACAACAAAAATATAACCTTGATATCTTCTGGATATTTCTTCTAGAATCGGGGCATGATATTTTAAATTATAGCGTAACAAACTGTAAAGCAATCTCAGACATCGTCACGTAAGGTCAATCTGACTGGTATCCAATCTACCCCGGAGAACCAGTTTTGTCTAGTATTTCAGTAAGTCGATCATTTTTCTTTCCACTTGATATTTTCGCATGAACTTGAGAAGTTGGTATATGGTTTTTTTTTTAATTCAGAAAACTTAGCCACAGGAAAATTTTGGCCTGTAATATAGTTAACGCTTTAAGAGTCAGTCCGCGAGAAAACCATGCAGAACTGTCCAAATCGAAGGTTGTCATATCTTAATGAAATTTGGTGGGTAGTTAGACTTTATAATATGTTATTAAAAAATGACCCAAAAAATTCCCATCATTCAACATGGCAGCCGTAGGCGGCATCACCTCCTTTTAGCACATTTAAGTGCAAATACACTTAAAAAATTCAAGAAAAATGGTAAAATTCACATTTGATTTATTTTACTCAAAATTAAACTTGCATTTCCATTAAGGTATTTTTAAGTAACATAAGACTATGTTCTTTCAAAACTGACATTTATCATAATCAAATATGCAATATATCAAAGGGCAGACAACTCTTGAAAATTGGCATGATGCCAATTTTCAAGCATTGCAAAAAGTATTACAAATTTGATGCCCCAAATCTTCCAAGACCAATCTTTGAAATTAATTTTTTTGATTTTATTGTGTAAATATAACTCTAAACATTATCTTTGCAAAATATTGAGCTTGGGAAATAATAAATAATTGAGATATGGGGATTTACAAATTGCTAATTTTCGAAAAAATTGCTCAAACTCAAATGGGTGGTTTATGCAAGCTATTCAATCGGGTAGAAAAAGGTGAAATTTCACGTGGGAGTAGGTGGAATTTTGTGTAAACAAATAATTAACTATGTTCTTAAATTTAGGTACTAAGTTGCTATTTCTTGTAAGATCTTTTTATTATTTCCAAAATCCGAAATAAATCATATTTTCTCATAGATGTATTCATTATTTTCCGTCTTTAAATGTACAAAATACAGGTAAATCTTAACATCTATTGTTATTTGCAAGTGGGAATAGGTGGAATTTTGATTTTTGAAAAGTGGGAATAGCTAGAAGATGGGTTACAAAGTCAAATATAGAACTTTAGATTATAAACAATTGTTGTTAGATATTGAAACATGTAACAATTTTCTTTGAAATAACAATTAAGATTGAAAAATATTAAAATTAAAAATCAAATTAAACTTAATTGTCAGAAATTACCCCTAATATGAGGATTAGCATTTTTGCCAATTGTTTAGAAATGAAAAAAAGCATAATAAATTGTATTGGCTTACTTGCAATTTTTCAACAATCATATGAATATTCATGTTCCTTACATTTTGTAAGTTAGTTTCTTTTTAATTAATAAAAGGGAAATTACAAGTATTTAAATTCAAACGGACTCTATTTCAGTATCATTCATATAAATTTTGAGACTTGAACATATAAAATTTGAGCCTTCAGTAGTAATTTTAAATTGGTACAATCTTATAAAAATACTGACAGGAGATGTTATACAAAATACTCTAAAAAGGAGTTTAAGAAAATGAAAGATGCTGGAGTTTACTCTTATCCCACCTCCCGAATCAAACAATTGTCTTCTTTTTTCGCTTGGCAAATTCTTTTAGGTAAGTTTAATTACCCCCCCCCCCCCGACCCTTTCAAAATCGTTTCTACATGTATGTCACTGCTATGACTGCGATTTTCGTGAATAAGAGATTTTATGAACACGAATCAATCAACTTGAATTAAATAATGGGGGATTGAATTTATAAAATATATATTGTTTATAAATTTGTGTATTTAAAGTGATTTAATCTAAAATAAAAAATATAATACGTTTTCCGTTCCTCGTTTTAGCAACACCCCTCCAGAACCCTTATCTTTTTTCATTATTTTATCCATTTCAATATTAGTATGTAAATTGTGGGGAGGTGGATGGAGTTAAACGATTGGGTACTAGATACACTCGTATATCTAATATCCTGACCTTGATCGACTGACACGCCCCCTCCCCCAACTGTTTTCAGTGGATACATATAACATTTAAAAAAAAAATTATCTCTCTCTGCAATGGTATTAATAATACCATCATGGTTATTCAGAAAAAGTATCAAATATTAATTTACAAAGCCTTATACAATTTTATTAATAATGCTTTGAAAATAATTTTGACAAAATTTGATAGCCCCCCCTTAATTTGAATGAATATGAATCCAGTCTTTTATCATGTTTATAGCCGGTTTTAAATTTTTACCACTTTGTACTGCAAACTGGCAAAGTTTTGGCTGCAGTAACGACTCATATTTTCGGAAGGGGGGGGGGGGGGCAGTACTCTCCCCCAAATAATTTTGACAATATTTATCGCGGAGGGTCCTATATCGGCGGGGTACCTAAATCGGTGGCATCTCCTTTCGAGCTGATGATTTTTAATGGGAGATCTGACTTTATCAATATATGAATGTTACGTAACACAGTAGTTTAAAGTATGTAATGTAAAATTAAAAATATTCCTAGGAATGACGGTGTTTGGTTAACTCAAAAACACACTAAATTTATGAAACGTAAACAATTCACATGTAGATTGAAATAACCAATTATTTTTGAATTTGTTGAGAGTATGCAATCAAATGCCTGTTTGCATTCTTATATTTTCTCAACTGATGACAAATCAAGTTGCTAAGACATTAAGAAAACTACGTACGTTTATATTGAAAATATATGATTTTAGTTAGTCAGTCCTCCATGATTTTTCCCATCGCTTATTGCATTATTACATTTTTCATATGTGTTTTTCTTTTTTCTTTTCCTTTTCATTTCTGATTACGTATATCATATACTTATACCTCTGATCTAGCTGAATTTATATGTTGTAAATATTCTTTATTGTCCTCATGTACCTGAAATGGTTTGAGTGAATAAAATGATCTTGAACTTGAACAGGGGCCAGGTGCCTTAAAAGTGGGGGGGGGGGAAGGGGGAGGGCAGCCAGAGAAAAATATTTTTTACTTACCTGGAAAAGTTGACAAATTGAAAGTCTAGTTGCCCCCCCCCCCCCCCCCCCCACACACCCACTATTAGTGATGTATGAAAAATGTAGTCTGAAAATTGGTACTAAAAGTAACTGACATTGAGAAAAGTTGACCTTTTTTTTTTTGCTTGTCAACTTTTCCAGGTAAGTAAAAAAAATTTCTCTGGCTGCCCTCCACTCCCACTTTTAAGGCACCTGGCCCCCGTTCAAGTTCAAGAACATTTCCTATACTATAAGTAAGGTTGCGGAAAAAAGTTGGGGGCAGCCCCCCCCCCCCCCCCCCCCCCCCCCCGTTGCTACGCTCCTGAAATGTATATTTTGATTAAAAATATTCTGTTATTATTTGATTTAATTTTCTATTCAATTGTACTTGTTAGGAAAAATTTTGTAACCGTTAATCACCATGAGATTCATGTAGATTCCCAGAGGACAGAACCCTTTAGAAAACATAGCTACTACATGTATATGCCCCAAATAAAAAAAAAAACAACTTCTGATGAACTTTTATTTATTTTTTTTTTTTTACTTTCTATGGAATTCTTGGTAGTTGTCAGATAATGTAGGTTGTCCCCCCTCCACCACACTGAAATTGCTTCCTACGGGCCTGCTATTTGTTTATTCAAGCTAAGTTGTTGTTTCTTTCTTACATTCAAATATCTTAAAATAAGTTTTCCCTCTTTCATAGTGCAATAATGCTCCACAACAACTCCCTAGGTGAAGAAAAAATGATCATACATGACTTTCTTCTTTCCATATTGACATACCTTTTTACCCAATAATACTAAAGAGTTCCAACAAGGGGAGATAACAATTTAACTCCAGTAAATTGGTAACAAGGGGCTAAAATAAGCAAAAGAAAGTTATATGAAGTATCAAAATCAGTTATTCCTCTTCTAAAAAAATATATTAGAGTAAGAATCTTCTCTTTTTCATTTAAATACCATAGAAATAATCCAAAAATATGGTAAAAGACTGTTATTTAAAATATGTGAAATTGTAGCAAAATATATGGTATTTCAAAGTTAATTTACAACATGTAGATATTATTTCCCAAGCTCAATATTTTACTACAAAGTAGACCTTAGATCATTCTTATTGTAACAATTAATTTAATTTAATTTCAACCTTGGTCTTGAGAGAAACGAGCATCTAAAAATAGCTAAAAAATCATACTAATTTATTTAGGATCTATAAATAGATGTGTAAAAAATAAAATATTCATTTGAATTAAGTTTTTCCTCATTAATTGTGTTAATTGGACCATGACTTTGAAAATAAAACAAAATTTGAATATAAACTGATGACAAAAGGTAACTTTTTAACTTGATCAATTTGTATACATTTTCCATTAAATTTTGTGTGATTTTCGACAAATATGCAAATGAGCTGTTACTATAAATAGATGCAGGGTTCGATATTTTTTTGTGGATATTCTACCTTTATGTAGAAAATTTTAAGCCTCTAAAAACTCTCAAGTTGCAACCTTCCATTTGGACGATTTTTTTAATTTTGCATGGTTTTCTCGTGACTGGCTCTTTAATATTTACATGTTATCAGGGACATACAAACAATTGGTGTAGCAAATAATAAACAATTATCCACTGGTTGTGAGTGGGATAGCTCTTTTATCAAACCCGCGACAGGGAACTATTATCCGAGGGCTTGCCCGAGGGGAATAGTCCCTGTCAAGGGTTTGATAAGAGAGATATCCCACTCACAAACAGTGGATAAACGTTTTATTATACTTAAGAAATAAGGTATCATTTTTTGAGTTTTATTGAGATGTAAAACGGGTTGGTCACGTGATCAAATCCCATAAAGCCCGAAGGGCTTTATGGAAGATTTGATCATGTGTCAACCCGTTTTACATCTCAATAAAACTCAAAAAATGATACCTTATTACTTATATTTACATTTGTGACTTATTCATACTTTATATTTGCTTGATTGTTACTTTTAACGTGTGAAATGCGTTAATTTTTCAAACCCAACGGCATGTATGTAATCCACTAGACGCGCGTCGACCCTTTATGACGTCACAGAGAAATTACGTGGAACGTTTATCCAAACGCACATCTATGACCTCTTGACCCCAAACCTGTATTTACACAGTTATAAAAACGCTTGCCTTCAGTAGTGTTATGTAAAGGAAAACATTTGCAAATGTAAATATTGATGTATAATATAATTTCTGAGGTTTGAATTTTTTGGAGTAATACTGCAAGAATAATCTGAAATCCCGATGACGTCACAATGCTACTGAAGTCATTATGACATCATTAGACAATAGATTTATCGCTGGAAATCAAAATTGGAGGCAAATATTGCATGAAAATTTTCCGAGGGTGGATAGCAAAAACTATACCCCGGGGTATAGCTTTGCTGTGCGTGAACTATAAAAGATAGCTATTTTACCTTCTGAACTTTATATAGGAAACATTTTAACAGAAGTATAATAACAAAAACTCTACCCCGGGGTATAGCTCAGCTATGCGTGGACTATAAAAGATAGCTTTTTTACCTTCTGATCTTTATATAGGAAACATTTTAACAGAAGTATAATAATGTATACTAGATAATACATAAAAATGTAGTCACTCATTTATAGCAGAAACATTGTTCTAATATCAAATAGTTGACGTAAAAATAAAGATAAATTATAAGAACCCTTAAATACAACTGGTTTTCACCAGTTATTTCAGGGGCCTATATAGGCCTACTATCTTAGAAGTCAGCTTGACATACGAGAAAATTAATAGAAGGTGCATTTAAAGTGAAGACAACTTGAAGTCAACTGCTTGTATTCCTAAAATTGTCAGATTTAACAATTTTTTTAAAGCAAAGTCTAAAGTCTTGTGTTAAAGTTAAATTGAAACATTTTATTTTTCTAAATTCTTAAAAATTTGTGATGATCGGACTTAAAAAAAGCTACAAAAAGTACCAAAAATGCTGGAAAATGCACCATTTAGAACCATGTAAAACAAAATTTTCTCGGGGGAGGACCCCCCGAACCCCCAACTATAGGTAGGTGACACCCCCTCCGATACCCTCCCTCTTCAGCCCTTTGGGCCTCAACCCCCCCCCCCCCCCACACACACACACACATGATTTTCTGGATCCGCCACTGTAATTGTCATTATTATGGATTGTTTGGTTGAAGTATTAAGGAAAGTAGATAATTTTGTATTGAATATTTTCTCTGTGCTTAATAATTTCGGACAGAGCAAAATGAAATGTTTTTCATTCTTAATATCCCCATTTCGACATAGGATCCAGGATTTTTTCCCGGGGCGGGGGGGGGGGGGGGTCCACCCAGTCGAAAAAAATAAAACACAGAACACAGAAACTTCTTGACAAGCAAAAAGAGTACATTCAACTCCTTTTCAAAAAGTGGATAAACCTATTTAGTGACTTTGTGTAAAAAAAAAAAAAGTTTTTTTCGGGGTAGGGGGTCCAAAGTCACTTTTAGTTGTTTTAGTTGCTTTAGTATATACATTTGCGAACTCTACAGATACGACGGGGAGGGGGTCAGACTCCCGACCCCCCTCTACATCAGCGCATGTATTTATTTTACTAAATATCATTGGCGCTTGGCATCTTCGCAACGTAATACTGTACAATTTTTGACAACAACCTATTTTGACCACTGAGTCCAGAAACTGTCAGTTGACTTCAATGGCGAAGGAAAACAGTTTAAAGGATCTCGCGATAATGTCAAAAGTTTTATCATAGACCACTTGTAACATTGAATTCGCCATAAAATTTTCCCAAAGCAGAGTTCCTCCTCCTTTCCTTTTCTGTCAACAAATATTATCTTCTAGAATCATGAGTAGGGATATTGAAGCTCAAGTCTCCACTGATACAAAACTAATTGGGAGCAGAGCAAACGAGGATCGATGTATAAAGAAGAGTAGGATCAGGTGGCATTAAGGAGAAACTATCTACTGTCGCCCTGTGCTCATGATCATTGCCATGAATTCGTATACGGAAGAATCTCTAAACAAAGTCAGTGGCATTTCAACATGAAAAATGTCAGTCAACATTAGACCTAATGATAACCATTCATTTACTGTGTATTAATCGTTATTAACTCTGCGTGTTGAAAATTTTATAAATTAAAATCAAAGGCAAATAATTATGTTCTACACATTCACTACAATATTAAATCGAGAGAGTTCAAAGTATGAAATTCAAGAATTCATTAAACGCTTGTTTAAGCTGGATTTTTCTTGTAATACTCTGTGAATATGTTGTTAGAAAAATATTTTATTTCTAAAAAGGCAAAGAACCCTTAGGGTATGGAACACAGGGGGAGGGGGTGGGGGGGGGTCCCGTTCTCAAGCACCTGTGTATAAAGGATGAGTTGGTTAATACAAGAAAAATTAAGAGAAGGTCTGGGTATTCCAGAGGATGCTTGCTCCTTCTAGACCTGTACATGCAGAATTTTGGCGAGCGCTCGCGAACGTTCGCGCTTCCAACAGAAAAATTCGTGAGTGCTCGCGAACGTTCGCTCTGCTGAATAGGCCTGCATTCTACTTAAAATCGTATCGGCTAACCTAACAGCTTGATGGTACTTCTATATCTATTGAACGGACAGGTAGCCTCCCAACAAAATCACGGATTTGGTCCCCTTCAATATACTTATTAGAATCATAAAAGTAATAGATTTCTACTTTTTGGTGTATTTTTCATGTGTATGATGATTCTTTTAGAAATCATTACTAGAATCAAAGGGACACAATGCTGGTTCGGTCTCGAGGGATGTTACCAGCGCCATTAGGTCTCGCGTTATAAAACCTCGAGTAAATGCCAACCGCCTCAAACTGGTTTTGCCAGCGAATCACATGTCACATCTCCACGTTTGGTGACCCTGGTACATGTAATACCTTGGTGGCTGAGTGGAAGAAGTATGATGTCACAAAACTACAACAACTAGAGAAAAGGAGAGCATTCACATTGGAGCTGAAAATAGATTCCATGTATTGGAAGGATTGCAAATGGTTGAAAACATCTGGAAAAATATGATAAAAGGTTACAACGAGACAGAAGACAGCATACTTGGAGTAAAAGAAAAGGGACAAAAACCCTGGATAAGCAGATTCTTGGAAGGTGGTAGAAGGAAGCAGCTAAAACTCCAATTTGCCAACAGCGGAAGGTTAAAAAAAGCTTAAGAAATAAATACATGTATTCAATTACTGACAGAGAGGTAAAATGCAGTATGAAGACATGATTACAGAAGCAGAAAGAGCAGCAAGTAATGGGCACATGAAAACAGTGTATGAGATAACTAGAGTGCTAAGTAATGAGAAGAAAGACATGACAACATCTAGAAAGGATACATCGTCGGAAACAAGAAGGCAAGATCCTGAGCAGTCAAGATGAAAGAAAGGAAAGGAAAGGTGGAAAGGGCACTTTCAAGAAATATTATTCAGTACACCGCTCACAACCCAAACATCCATTAGAATTTGAAAGCGAAGAACAACTACAATGTATGAGATGAGATGGATACAAGTCCCATGCGGAAAGAGGAAATTGTCAAGGCAATAAAGAAAATATAAAGAATGGAAAAGCTGGAGGAGTAGATACTCAGTAGTATAACAGCCGAGATGTTAAAAGCAGACACAGGAAAACAGCAGGATATTTGGAAAAAACTATTTTCAACAATCTGAAACCAAGAAACCATTCCATCGGTTCGGAGTAAAGGCCTGCTACACTGTAGTGAAGATTCCAAAGAAAGGTTTTAGATCGATATGTGATAATTATAGAGGTATAACACTTTTGTCTGTGCCAAGCAAAGTATTCACTAGAAAAGTGATACAAAGAATCTAAAATGGAGTGAAAAACAGCTGCGTGAGGAACAAGCTGGCTTCAGAAGGGGGAGGAGAACAACGGAGCAACTATTTACAACCCACAGCATCATAAAACAGTGTACAAAATGGAACTCAACATTGTTTGTAAATTATCTTAACTTTGAAAAGGCGTTTGATTCCATTCACCGAGAGAGCCTTTGGGCTATCATGAAGTTTTTTTGGCACCTCAGACGGAGGCAAACTGGTCAGAATGGTGGAACTCCTATATGAATCATTCCAATGTGCAGTCTTAGAAGATGGAGAAGAATCAGATTGGTACCAGGTAACAACAGGAAGCAAGGTTGCACAATGTCTGGATTCCTATTTCTGTTGATTATAGATTACGTAATGAAAAGAACTACAGAAATTGAGAGCCAACAGAAATAAGGTGGAATTTCAGAACAAAACTTGAAGATGTAGACTTTGTAGATGATCTTGCTTTACTTTCCTCAAAATTTCAAGACACAAAGACTTAATGAAATCGCTAGACAAGCTGGCCTGAAAATAAACACCGAGAAAACCAGTGATGAAGCTCAACATTGACATAAAAGAGGCAGTCAAGATTGATGGGCTAGACCTGGGGGATGTAGAAACATTTCCTTACATTGGAGGTGTGATAACAACAAAGGGATCATCTGATGAGGACACTACGAACAGACCGGGAAAAGCTAGGTCCCAATTTGGGAGGCTCAGAAAAATCTGGAGCTCATGATGCTCATCAAAATTTTCCATCCAAACAAAGGTAAAGTTATTTCACAGGTTAGTCCTGTCAGTCCTAATGTATTAATGGGGGGGGGGGGGGTCACTGATATATTTAGTCCATACACTAGGGATACCGGGTAAACATGTATACTATAAAGTGTAAACATGTTCATGTTGTATGGAAATACCTCCTCAACAATATACGCCTGATGTCAATATGAGCTTTTTAAACTTGCTTATCCACCCAATCTGAAAAAAAGCTTGCACCACCTCCACCTCTAAGGTAATAACATCCTGTTTTCTGTCCAGGATAACATGATAATCTATACATAATTGCCTCTGGTAATGAAAGAGAAAAGAAAATCAACTCAGAACTTTATATTTTTAATTCCTTATATAGAAATGTTAAGAAACGTACACATGTTATGTATTTGTAACATCACATTGATATTAAAACAAACTGCACTGCAGCAGTGCTAAACACATTTTGTCCCGTTTCTACATATAAGTAAATTGTAAATATTTTATATTTTGGATTTTAGTTGTCCAAGACTGTTAAGAGAGTTTTGTTAAAACACATTCTATATACATGTATATGTACATTTATCGCAAAAAAAATAATACATTAAAATATACATAGGTGATTTTCGGCATTTTTTCCCCATTTCTAAACAACCGGAAAATATTAAAATAAGCTCACCTAGACATGTAAATGAAGATCTAATCTATAACATATTAAGTAAATGAACAAACAAGTTCAACTAAAAAGTTGTGTCCATGTAATTCATATAGTTACATCTCCGACGTGAAATAAAATGAAAGGGTTAATTATAATTGATAGAGTACAATAAAACATTTGCTGGTATATCACAGACACAAAAGAGCAACTTACAAGTGCACAAATATAGGAATTTCTATAACAGGTTAACGACGCCATTGTGGTTCCTGAATATGAAAGCGTATCCTGTCCTAGTACCTTTGTGCATTGAAACAAAGCACTTTCCTTGTGCACAATTTGTCTTCAGTATGGAAGCCGGTAGGTGCCAGGTAGGAAAGATATTTTATCAACCACCGGTTTCCCGTACTTTAGTATGTGTTTCGAAATGAATATAATTATATGCGTACACATTGTTATTCCATATTCACATTTTTCTTTCATGAATAAAATAGACATGCATATTTCGGGGTCATATGAAATGGTGATCAAATATTTTTTTTTCATTTTAATATTGGTTTAGATAAATGAAGATGAAAATGACACATACAAAAACAATAAGGCGATAAAGAAAACTCCATCAGAGGATATAAATCATGTAAATGTTTTGAATTGATGAAAGTTTGCACAAATGTATATTGCATAGTTATGTAACATTCCAATAACATTTTGATATTTTTTTAAAGAAAAAAATAAAATAACCTCTATACAAATGTGTAATCAGAGGACTTAAAATTTTCATTGCACATTTTTTTTAAAATATTGCAACAAACATTACACTTTGATTTTGGATTCAAATAAGGACAAGAGAACTAAAATCACCGCCCCAAGAAAAATGCCAACGTTGTTACAAATGATCATCCGCAGTCTCTTCCCTCGGGAGCCCTTTCCGCCATTTGTCATATGTGGCAACTGCAAAGTAGTATAAAGAATACTAGTACAGATCTTTTGTAACAGTTTTTTCATTTTTAATTTTGATAAATATAGCCATAACCCCCAAATTTTATCGTAAGGTATATGTAATTGATAATTTTTTTTTTTTTTTAGATATCTATAAATTCCTGTAATATGGTACATATGCATATTTTTCTTACCATATCTGCCAGAGCAATGTACAAGAAGAGTCCCGCGGTGACGGCGAAGATCCATTGGCGGACCGTGTTGTCGGTTGACACGGAAACCCCGATGTATAGACCAATGAAAGCAGTTAATGAGGACAGGAAGTTAAAGATTAAGGCTCGGGCTCTAGACATGCCACTGGATACCAAAATGGCGTAGTCCCCTTTAATAAAATTTATATTAAAATTAAAGATTTCATCACTAACTTATATGGAAAATAAAATGTCTACATACAGAGACAAAAAATACAACTGAAACTTGGTCTAATGCACGAAGCATGCAAGTGGGATCAGACAAAGTACTGAGGAATGGTTTACCAAGTTCGTGTGGCAGCTCATGACAGAACACGGTAATAGTCGTGGCAATACCGACTGATGGACTTTCAGTGAACGCTGCACCGATGGCCAGACCGTCGGCGAAATTATGCAAGGCGTCTCCCAACAAAACCATCAGAATCAGGGATTTGGCCCCAGCTGAAAGAAAAAAAAACTGTAATTACTAGTACCCTTTTGCATCATACAATTTTACTTTTATTTTGAAATGCATGTACAACCCTTTATACATTTTTCTTCAAGCAAAGATTCACAGACTTGTATGGAAATATATTTGCTAAATATCGTAGGTACGGAAGCCTTAAAATTGAAGGGTTTTAAGAATTTTCTTTAAGAATTTGAAAAACACCTGAATATCACACGGTACAAGTATAGCCATCACAGCCAAAGATCGCGGGAATTCAATATCATATTAAACTTCGCATGTTACATACAAGATATAAAAAAATAAGTAGAATATTTTCTACCATTCTCTCATAAAAAAAAGTCATAGAGAAGGTGATTGGAGGAAAATAAATGTGTGAGAATCTATGTATTCAATAAATAAGTAAGACGTACAAATACAATGTATATAATCTCGGAAAACGTTTTATCCCCTCTCACTCTCTTTACAGTTTGGTAAAGACTGAATCTTACAGTTTGGTAAAGACTCTAGATTCTACTTACGTGATGTAACATTTGTTTTATACTCGGAATCTGCTTCACTTCGTACTTCATATAATTCAGACCGCGACTCCGACTTTCCATTTTTCTGCTAAAATTACAGACAGACATTTACTGCTATTATTTCCATGTAATGTTGTCGCATACGCCGGTTGAAAATGAGTTACAAATAATGTAGCTAGATTTCAAAATTTTAATTTTCTGATTTTACATGGCTCAGAAAAGGTTTGAATATTGTATTATATTATTAAAGAAATCTTACACCGCTGTGCAGTTCGAATTTATCCAAGGTTGGCATGTGTGAGTGTCCGTGACTGTCCTCGTAGTTATCTCCCTTACTTAACAAATTGAACATCATCTCCATGAAGTAGAATGCGTATATACCTAGAAATAATTTATATGTTTAAATAGATATGTTAAAATTTTTTTTCACAAAAAATTGGGGTCCTGGAATTTATTGTTATAATTTATAAATCACGTTGCTTGTTTACCAGATATAATGGTCATATGAAACATTATACGTGTAATACAACTTAACTTCTTATGTTTTTCATTTACCGGGTGATAGTAAATAAAAAATTTTGAATTTAATATCATCCGTTAAATTTAAAATTAGTTGTCATGTTGTAAATTCTGTCTTTACTACGTGTACCACCCGAAACTCAAAATTTACATTGTTCAACATGCCAATACCATAAGTGACTGCAAAGTTGCAAAAAATCATCATAATGCTCCGTGATATGGAAAATCGTCATAATTTTTTTTTTTTTAATTACTCGTATATATATGCTTTTATTCCTTACATTTTTTTTTTCAAAATTGACCATAATCCATTGTAGCATCAGTTTTTCATTAATTTTTTTGGGGGGAAGGGGGGGTGTTACCGCGTCAAGAAATCTAAATATGAATATGTTATTCTTGTTTTGTTGGCAGTTTATGATAGACAATACAACTTAGCTGAAATCCTTCTGACATGTCTAACTTCTAAAAAAGAATTTTAAATAAATTATGGGGAGAGAAGTGAAATGCATATTCAAAATTATCGAGACGGTATCTCATATAAACATATTAATTTCATAAAGAAAGTCTTTTCTCGTGTTTTTAAACATTGTTCTTAAACTAGTTTTGATTTCCCTTTGACCGTATAGGGGATGTCATCAAATGAAATTTTTACCGAGATTCACATTGACTTTTATTATGCCAGTCAAATATTCGCTGTGTTTAACGGCATTTAAAGTTTTGACACTTTATATTTTAACGACCCTGGCTGGCAGATGCACGTATGCATGTCTGAAGTCTCAAAAAGACTAGATAAACTCGGGTGTCCAAAAATTATTAAACCTGATACTAGGAATTAAATAAACTAGCCAACTCTTACTGGCGCTTTAAGGAGCCGAACATTAACAAAATTTTATGGGCCGTTTATTTAGGTCTTTAACTATAAATATAACATTTACCCTGACCTGGAATTGAACCCAAATCACCTTTTAAAATAGCATAATCACACGCAACCAAAACATTACATCTTACACAATACCGGTCAAAGGGAACATATAGTACCTGAGAGAAAAATAACAAATATCTGACATGGGATTTCTTCGTGTATAAATGCATTAAAAATACTTTAGTTTTTAAGATTTTTACGATAATTGGCAATTTAAAGACGGGACCAAGACATCGTTTAAAAGATGCCAAATACAGTTAACGAACATGTAACTCACCCCTCCCCCCTCTACTCAAGTTCTTTCATTAGAACAATAGTATAGTAGGTACAAATATTAAAAGTTGTTGAGATGTTCTGAGATAATCTTACCTGCCATGGCGGCTAGTCCGTATCCCACGTAGGGTTCCATCACTATCTCATCGCCGTGAGCATGCCCGTGCTCATCATCGTGCACGTGTAAACCAAACGCCTAAAGTAGCAGAGATGCAAAGTCAAAAATAAATATTTTATTAAGAAATAAATAACAGGTTTATAAACTTCAATGGGAATTGAAGTGGGTCGGTCACGTGATCAAATCCTGTGAAGGCCGAAGGCCTTCTCAGAAGATTTGATCACGTACCCACTTCAATTCCCATTGAAGTTTATAAATTTGTTATTTATTACTTATATATACATTTGAGATGGACAACTAAATATTAAATTAAATGTATTCCGATATAAATATTGCACTAACCGGTCGCCGTAGATTTCCGTCACAAGTACGCAAGGTGTAAATCGGCTTGAAAGGCGGTTACGCTTCGAATTCGTCAAGCTAAGAATTCTATTTCGAAGGGAATACTTTGTTAAAGGGTACTTGTGATCAGTAATAGTGAACAAATTCTTGTCTGGGATTATTTTAATTTGTGAAAATTGATCATTAATGCTGAAAAGACACAAGAAATGCGTCCGAGAATGGATGAGAAAAAGTTGGAGGAATTTCGGTCGCCTGAAAGGGATGGATGGATCCGATGGATTGAGATACTTGTCCGAGCCAGTTAATTTGCAATCATGTGTAAAACTTCATCAAAAACAGTTAATCTACGATTTCAGTAACTAAAGGCGTTTCTTGATGTTAAAACGGAGATACTGGCGACAGTTTACATTGAAGTACGACAGCGCCGATCGAGGTGTTTCTCAGCTGTTTGTGGCGTGATTGCAATGCTTTGATATTTTCCAACAGATTTATCGTGAGTAGAATTTACTGAAAAAAATATAGTTTTAGCCTATATCATGAAAATTTATCTTAAGGTCTAACAAAAATAAGGATAAATGTTAGAGACTGTGTAGCTGACAAAAGTGTCTTGTAAACAAAGGCTAGTTTCTATCGGTATATTCTCTATGTACACAAGTTAAATCAATCTCCAAAAATGTATGAAGTACTTGTTTACGTTGTAAATAAAACAATTATTTCACTTGCTTATTTTGTTCATTTTTATACATGAAAAGCAAGACATTTTATATCTGTAAGTAACGGTAGATATTATTACGCCGTGTGATTCGGCCATGTATTGACCTCTGACCTCTGACAAACTTCATACAGAATTGAAGATATTTTCTCTCTGTATGTTTATATAGTGGAAAGATACCACAAATGTATATATTATAGGTTATTTTATTTAATAAAAAGCATTAATTTCTATATAATGAACGAGCGATGTTATATGCCAAAATTGGATAAGGGTAAAAAGAATTAAACATACTGTATATAATTTTATGTCAAAATGATCAATATTTTCTTCCCCTGTCATCAATGGACAAAACGTTTCTAATTATTTTTTTTCGAATATGTAAATGATTACCCCAGCAGTATGGGTACTTACAGCTGGAAAGAGATGGAGAATAGCATCAGAAACCAGAGTTCCGACAGCCAATCCCAGAAAGACGGCCAGGACGTAGTCAAAGGTGTTCAGACAGATCGTATTGGCCAGCGGAATAAAGAGTATGGCGCCTATTGCACAGAGGCAGACGATAAAGACGGCCACAGTACCGTATCCGTATGCTACAAAGAAAAACGACCAAAAATACGGATTTATCAACACTGAAAACCAGAAATTTTAATCCCAATTCACAGACACATTATAAATAAGAAGCGCAAACCGTGTCAGAGTTACCAACCTTCAGCGGTTCCCAGATGATGGTTTTCCCCTTCCTTGGGAAGCGGTTGGCATGCCTTTGTTACTTGCTGGTATATCAGAGATGGACACAGTTCCAGGAAGTTTTGTTTGGACAAGGTGTCAGTGTTTCTTGAATTGTAGATGGCTATGATTTCATCCGCATTGTAGCATTTCTTGTCCTAAAAAGAGATTCCGTAGTATGAATGTTAGGGAATGCATGTTAAAGAAGAATCTAAATTTCTAATTTTTTTTAATTGCATGTTTTGATGTACACTTTTTTTTCTTACAAAGGTAGGTGTATCTGGGAGCGCCCTCTTGCGTCTGCGATGGTCATGTCCGTCATGAATTTCTCCCGTTACTGCTGTTGCCGTGCTGGATTGTACCAAACCAAGAGTAGTCAGTAAACCTTGCAGCTCTGATGGAAAGAAATAGTTTTTACTTTGAGGAATTCAAAATTACTAAGAGTCGTTTCTATACCAAGTTATATTTAGCAAGTCTTTAGGCTGTCTAAAATTAAAACTATGTTTAACGTCACCCGCGCGCGTAGGTTTATGAGAAATTCGTCTTTGTCGGAATTCCGTATATCCGTTCCGGTTTGGTTCTACAATTAGCGACTAAATTCTGCTTCCCGTAGTGACAGAAAATGTGCTTTGATAGCCGCAGTAAAGGCAGTTGGTGTCTTATTAAAGAAAACTAGTGAATTAAAGAGCTTGGAACCATAAATGTAAGTAAAAAAATAGATGATTTTATGATTGAAGTTAATGACAAAGTCTAGTTTTTTGATTTTTTGTCAGTCTTCGAATCACATGTACAGACTGACACTCTCAGTTCGTGATTATTGGCTGAACTTTTCATTGTATTTTGGAGAGAATCGAAAACTTTTTTACTGAGTGGAAAGTTTGTCAAAAACCAATAGTTATATACAGTGAAAAGCATCATTTAAATCTTATTTAATTTATTTAATATTAAAAAAATATTTCTGTAAAAATCGAAAGGAACAGTAATGAGTAAGATAATTGATTTCTTCATAATTCATGTACCAGAACAAATTTTTGGAAAAGATAATACTTGTCTTAACCATTTGAGCAGGGAGAAGCTTACCAAAGATAGAGCCTTTCAAGTGAAGGAGAGTAAGGAAAGTGGTTTGAGGTATTCCAAGACGTGAAGAATCCTGTCTTTTGTGTGGAATTCAAGGTATTAAAGATAATCTAACAGCTGTCAGTATGGTCCAAATATATATTAGTATTCACACTTTCAAAACTTAATGCTAGTAGATCTAGTACTAAGAAAAAAATACGACATAATTCAATTTGAGGGTATTTCAACATGAACAGTTTTAAATATTGTCATCAATAATTTTAATTGTAGATATTGAGCAACCATTCCCACAAGAAGAAGCATTTGCCTCCAGGGTACCATGGACGTGTGGCAATATAAATCCAAAGGACAACTGAGGCCTAGTTAAAATCCACCATTCAGTCATAGACTACATTTTTTGCTAACAATAGGACTCAAACTGATTTACATACTAAGGAAAAACTCTGCTAGGAAAATTAATCTTAGGTGTCATATCAATTAAATGCTCATATTACTTAATTGTAATGTTTTTAATGTACTGAATAGGTTAATTTGAATAAATTCACAATTGTTTGAAAATTTTGTTTGTTTATTTTTTTCCTCCCTCCCTCGTAGGTTTTGAACTTTAGATGTGACGTTAAACGTAGAATTAACTTTAAACAGCCTTAAATACAGAAATGTGCTCAGTTGCATCAATGGTGAAAAATGTCAAAACTGAATAGAAAGGTCATCAGCTGGCTTAGGATAATTAATGTCTGTCTTGTGTTCAATGGTATCTTACCCGTCTTCTGGATGGTGTTGTTGAAGGCATGGACGTACTCCAGAAGACCATTCTCGATGTAGTTCTTCCTCGGTAGCAGACGACAGTTACTTAACACCTTATCCCCTGTATCAAAGAAATATACAGAAAGTACAAATTAAGCTCTAAATATATCTTTTCCTCTTAATTCTTGTCATTAATTGATTATCAATAAAATGCGTCTTCTTTTGCTTGAAAACTTTGAAAGTGCAATAAAAACTTTTGATCTTTTCGGGACGACATTGATTAAAGACTTGAAAGAAGAAGGGACGGCATGCCCTTAACGGTTTATTCCTATCTATTATTTCGTGAGTTTTACGTCATTATGAAAATGCAACGTAATATGGTCCAAGAGTCGGTGATTTACTTGTATATACACATACTAGTACCTGACAACATGTGATAGAGGAGCAGCTGGGACAGGGCCTCTAAATCGTGCTCATCACCAAACGCGTCCTCTAGCGGATCTTTGTACATCTCATCATACAACCGACCTGCACTCAAACACTGCAGGAAGAAACCATCAGAGTATGAGATAAAAAAAAATCTTGAAAAATTAATTTTCTTTTTAGACTTTTCTTAAAAAACCTTGAATGTTCGGTACGTGTATGGCTTATTGATATACTTGTGAACAGACTTGCCCGAAAAATCTTATTATGGTCACTTATCAAGAAAGTATATTAATCAAATACAGGGTCTTTAATGAATATTGTAGTGTCTATCCGTAGGTTCTTCATCAAGCTTACAATGTATATGTTTGAGCTCAAACATTTAGAATCTCTTGGAAAAACTTAAAACCCGTGACCATCAACACCAGGAATGTGACATGCAATTAGTACATGTAAGCTCATCAAGTCACTTTATAGAACTAAAATGCATTCCACTAACTTTAGTCTTATGAAGGTTGACTTTGGGGACGTCATCATCATGTTCATGACTGTCCGCTTCATGGCTATCATGGTCATCGTCATGTTCATGGCTATCGTGAACCGACTCCGTCGATTGGTCATCATGGACCATGGTAGGCGCGGTCACGTGATCGTTATCATGATCATCATGACCATGGTCATCAGTATGGCCACTATGAAACGGGAGAAAAAAGTTCCAAGATTAAGTTCCAAGATTAAATGTTCAATATGTGCTTTAGCATTATTTAGAATCAAGATATTTTTAGATACTTGAAATTATAAGAGTTAGATTTTCTTAAACTCAACAAAGGTTTCTTTTTTAAACCAATTCAACATAAATATATTTTCAGCAAAATTTCTATTCTTAAATAACTTTTATCAGCAAATTCATGCGTCTGAAATTACAAACCATTCCCATTAAAAGTTTAAAGTTTTTTCGACATATATACAGTGAACTTAAGCTTGTAATACAATGTATATGTTTTACGACAATTTTATGAATCCAATTGCTTTCACAGTCTGTGAGTGATATTTTTGATAATTTACCTGAAGTGCCATAAAATCTTTAAAGTCATGAATTTTACCTTTATAAAAGTTAACGTTGAACATGATTGCATCGCTTGTGCAATTTTAATTCCAGGACGTGTTTATGTTTCGGGTTGAAAATCTAGTAATGGTCCCTTTATGGCTTTACGTACAAAAGCTATATATAGTGCTTCTTTACGTTCTAATTATAAGATAAATCTTAAACACCTACTGTTTTGTCGTCATTTCATCGCTATGCTCATGAGAATGGTCATTGTCGCCGTCTGTATGTTCATCTGAGTGATCATCGTCATGACTATCGTCCTTTTCGTCGTCCGATTCGTAAACATCATTCAATTCGTCGATGGCTTCTTGTAGAGTTTTGGCTGTCAGTGAATTCAGTACCAGTTGACCTCTTGTGAAATATCGAGTGAGTTCATCACTATAAAATTTCTTAGACGACCCAGCATTGATGGACACCGGTTGCCCGCAGTTATTCTTTGCGATCGTCGTATAATACACCAGAAGATTGGACAAGTCCCCGAAACTGGATTCTAACAGCTCATCTGTGTCTCCGAGACCGAGGTAGCTAAAAACGTCATTTCCAGAAATACACTGAAATATGAGAATAGTATAATAGGGTAACAAATACTACAATACAATATAATACTAGTAGTACCGGTATAATAGAAAACTTTGAGGTAGACACTGTTGAAAGACAGGAAAATAGAAGAAAGGAAAATTTAGATCATAACTTCGGTGCATCAACAAAGACTGCAGAATACAGAATACATTGATGTCAGAGACTCTGAAAGCTTGAAAGGAATTTTTAAACAGGGTAAAATTCAAAAGCAGAGGCACTGGATATAAACAGTCAAAACTATATCATTCTAGGGGTACAAACATGCACTATATATATTCAGATAAATATATGCGTTCGTGATTATTTAATATATTTATCAGAAACAAAAATGTTAATTAAAAAGTATTTCGTATCTGTTTCCATGCTCTTAACTTGTATTTAATGTTCAAATGTGATTACTTTCGCTAAAAATACCACAAGTAAATAAACAAGTTCTTTTTATATGTTTCAGTAAGTAGTAGAACCTGGTTCAGTTCAATGTATAGTACGATACACTTGGCTAATGATCTCTTAAATTCCCCTAATACATGTATATAAAATCTAAAAGTATGTTATTAGTTTTACGACATAAAATTTTTATTACATGTATTATCAAGAGAAAAAAACCAAAAAATGATCGAGCTCAAAATTGAATTTTTTTCAACTGAGCTTAATTAAAGTGAAATATTACAGAAGAACGAGGGCTGACAAGACAAACATTATATGCACGGTCATATTCTTAGCTTCTTAAATTGTTTTCATGTTTCAAAAAATTCGATTTTGTAAGAAAGAAAAAGGAAACCTGTAGGATAAGAGAGGGGCACAATAAGTACGCATAGGAAATCCATCAGTTTATTGGAAGATGTGGTCTCCAAAGGCGACATTTCAATATATTGCTAATGTGACAGTTTAGCCTCTTCTTAACATACATTATATTCACTTTAGAATATTTCTGCAAAGATTACACGTGGTTGAACAAAACTCTGCATTGCTAGTCATAATTTACTGGTAAAGTTAAAACCACAGGGTAAAATAGTCTTCCTAGATCTGTTTGTTTGTCCTCCTGTCTGTCTTCCTTTGTTCCAGAGTGTTTCCTCCAGACGATTGCATATATTAATCAAATTTCGTGCATCTGATTTTATTATAAGTTCAGATCAGGCTTGCATATATTGAACACATTTCGTGCATCTGATTTTATTGTAAGTTTTAGATCAGGCTTGCATATATTGAACACATTTTGTGTATCTGATTTTATTTTAATGAGTTTCAGATCAGGTTTGCACTTCTTTCCGCATCAATGATTTTTGAATGATTGTGTTAGTATACAATACGGTAATATGCTGAGGATGAATTTATTTATATACATGTATTATAGTCTATCTTTCATATAGGCATATAAAGTGTTAAACGTCGTGATAAATTTGCCTATTGGCCGAAGTCTCCAATCCCATGTCTACTTTTGTGTAGAGAGAATGGTCTACTATTCAATTATGAAAGTTGAACATATAAATTTTAATCAGTTTAGGTGATTTAACATGTGGTTTCCCGAGTAAACTGGTGATTTCTGTTCATCAAAGATTTCTTATTTTTGAACATTTAACTAAAAATTGTTCCTTTTACAAAAAATACAAGTTTTTTTTCAAACAAACGAAAATCATAGGTGAACGTCCATTGAGTCTGTTATATAAGGAAGTCACATTGATGCTTACGTCAGACTTCAGTTATATTGTTCATTATCAAGGTTATTCTCAAAGTAGAGTACATTTTACATTGTATAATGTCCATTTATCTGGTGTAGAAGCAGTTAAGCAGTAAAACCTTATCGACGTTTATGTCGAGTATTTTAAATGTGTGTCCCATTTCTTGAACTTGATCATGAACCGTGACAGGATTATATTAAATTTTTCACGTCATTCGCTTAAAATGTACTTCCAATTTAAATATAATTTGCTCTCATGACACTGAATTTTTTTTCTTATTTATTCCTAATGATAAAATGCTAATGAATGATATTATACTTTATATTTTTGACCAAGTTTTATTCCAGGGCATAATCCGGTAAAAATTATGAATATGCTTTTTTACATATATGATTAATGCAGAAATTTGCATGTTGTTGGATAAGTTTGTTATGATATTTATTTGTAAATTATTTCATTCAGCCACCAAGGATCGCAAAAAAAAATTATCTTAATCTATTGTGCCATATTTTAGCGATTAGTGAAAAAAATATTCATTTGCTGGGATAACGTATGCAAAAGTGTACAGACAAGATCGAAAATCATATTTGCACTCCCATTGAAGGGTTTAAAAATATCGATAAAAATAATTCCAAGAAAAAAAATCAGTGGGTTCTGATTGCGATATAAATCAAGATGTCGATTGATTATTTAGAAAAAGGGCTGAAACCATATCTCGTATTCATATACAAAAGTTACTCCATACAATTCACTTGTAGCGAGAAAAAAATTCAACAATAAATAAGAAATGAGTATACATGTGAACAAACTGCATAATCCAGTGGTGTTTGGGACAAGCCCCCCCCCCCCCCCACACACACACACTGCTCTCAGAATGGCTGGACTTATTTTTTCTTATTTTATAAATTATTTCTCTTGTCACATAAAAGGTAATCAAGATGTAACCTTACTTCTATAAAAATCAGACGAATTGGTATTTTTTTGTGACATTTGAATTTTACAGAAGGTAAAATTTAGATTATTTCGAGATTTTTTCATTTATAAGTCTGTCAGAGAAAATTATCAAAAATTAGTTAAATAGATTTGGAAAGTGGATGCGTGTAGGGGTGTGTTTTTCGTTTCCAAATCCCCGTGCAAGTTTGTTTGGTAGATTACATTAAATATCGTTGGTTTATAAAATCCATCTTTTTTTAGCGACAACTCGCAGTGACTGAGTAAGAAAACCACGTGTGGTCAGGTAGATTGGTCATATCTGTGCAGAGGTCGTTTAATTAGTATGATGCGACAAATATGACAAGCCTTAATTGTTTCAAATTGTCATCATTAAGAAGACAATACATTATTTTTCGGAAGCAGAAGTTACGTGAAATATATTGCAGCCTAAAGCATTTCCGTGACAAACGAGAATATGTACAAATTGTCCAGCACGATTCTGGAGTAAGATCCATATGCTGAGGTTAGTGAGTCAACGATGAAAAGTGTGTCGTTTGTAGAATCATGTTTTACTATAATTAGAACGAACCGTGCCTAAATTTGGACTGTTTTTTTTAAAGAATTTAAAAAAAAGAATTCATTTATATCATTTACATGCTATTTTTGGTTAAATAAAATTTGAATCGGATTTTGAGTAAACATAGTGTACTCCGTCGGAAAAGACATTTTTTTTTGAGTTCAGAATTGAGAAGTCTTTGAACAATAACACTGACATTACAGACGATTTCTGGAATATCATAATAGAATAGCACTGTAAACAAACGACATTACATAAGTTTGTGGAAATTACAACCATTTGATTAATCACATGCTTGTAAATGACGTCTTGTAATGTTTGTTAAGCATGGAGTTACATGAAACTACATTTCCAAAAGCATCGGCCTCATAAACAAACTCGACACACTTCAAGTGCTAGCTAAGGCTAAAGCAAGTTAATCATATAAATAGTAAAGATGAATAATTAAATTTTGAGTCGACTGATCGGTTATAAAAACAATTTTTTGAGGTTTCCTATTCCATTCAATCATTGATGATTGAACAAAAGTTGACAGACTGGTGAATACATAAAAATAGTTTATGACTATGTTCAGGGACCTATATACTATAGGTCCCTGCTACATGTATGTTATAGACATCTATTACCTCTTTACGCTATATATTCAACAATTTACAATAGGATATTTAAAACTAATGTCTTGGTAACTGTATCCATGCCTTATACAAAGCAGAAACATTAAAATGATACAATAAATTTTGCCTTCTTCATAAAAGAAATTAAAAGTATGTCAATGTTCTCTAAATTTCTACAATGAAAAATCACGATATGATGTAAAAAAAAAAATTAAAAAAAACACAACTTTTTCTACGATCTAGGGTTCAAAATCCTGTTCAATTGGGACACACATTGGCCTGAAGGCATCTAGTTACCAACAATTACATTTGTTACACCTTAATTAACGAAAGTTGAAATTAAGTCAAAGAATCTCATTTGTCCCTCGTGACAGTTTAAGGACAGAATCGTATCGTTTCGCAGTAACTTCCGTGTATGCCAATTAGGGAGTTTTGGAATAAATTTCAAGATTTTTTTTCTCAACAGCTTGAAACTTATTTTGATTATCTTAATATATGAATAAATAAACATGTGTATTAGCGAGAGAGAGAGAGAGAGAGAGAGAGAGAGAGAGAGAGAGAGAGAGAGAGAGAGAGAGAGAGAGAGAGAGAGAGAGAGATACCAGGTTCTGTCTATTTGGCTGAAGTTTTTTTTGTGTATATATGGACTTTTCTTCCATAAATTGTCGAAAGCTGTAAACTAGCATGAGGTTTTCAACCACAGATGGTAAATGACTGAACATATAACACCACGTGAAAATCATTTATCAACAAGAAGTGATTTCCTTGACTGATTCTTGTAAACATTATAAAATTACACATAAAGTAAATGTTGTGGAAATGCACAACCATTTTTATAAGAATTTGTCTTGATTTGAAACATAGATTTTCACATATTGTGTTTCATAATTTGAATGGAATATACAGAATAACGCCTTTGTTTGATATAATAAACCACCAAGATTTTAAAAATTGACCTAGTTCATCAATCGTTCTATTTAAAATGTGAAAGAAATATTTTTCTATTCGCCTACAGCATGTGATTTTCTGACTTGGTTAATTTCTAAATTGGTATCGCCGAGCTTGGAAATTGTTTTACCCATCTAACAAACATTTATGGCACGCCAAATTCACAAAAATGAGCAAATCATAGTTTCACAATCGATAAACTAGGTTTATCTGTTGTAAACTATAGTTTACGGACTGTAAACTATAGTAAACAACTTAAATCTATATTTCACATCTGTAAATCATAGTTAACTCGATAATCTATGTTTCACAACCGTAAACTACCATTTGAGATCGCAAAACAGAGATTATCTGATAAATACAGTTTCATGATTTGTAAACTATAGTTTACAAACCGTTAACTATAGTTAACGATCTGATAAATATAGTTTCACATTTGTGAAACTATGATTAACAACTCTTAACTATAGTTTACGATGTAAAAGTTTACGAACGTGAATCTATGTTTATCAACAAAATCTATTGTTAACGCTTATTACAGACAGATAAACACACAACTAAGTTAACAACCGTTAAATATAGTTTTACAGATGAAAACTATACTTAACAAATCGTTAACTATAGTTTACGGTTTGTAAACTATAGTTTACAGTCGATAAACCTAGTTTATCAATTGTGAAACTAGGTTTATCTCATTTTTGTGAATTTGGCGTGCCATAAACATTGTTAAGAATATTTCACATTTTTTCAAAGTTTCACGTTTTTCACATTGAGTGGTCATAAATGAATAGCACTAAGAAGATTAAAAGTGTAAATGCCCATGAATCCCTTTAAATAAACATAAACACACAAAAGCTACAATAGGGTCTTCATGCTTGATCGTCATTTTGGGTTCACTGGGACTTGTGGAATAACAGTTTTCATATTTTTAAAGATCTTATGATAATTGACGAAAACCTCCAAACCAATCGGTGTGAGTACTGACCAATAGTATATATTTATACTTACCAGGGATCGCCCACAAGAGGGGGGCGCAGACACTTGTGGGGTTGTCTGTGTAGTACAATGAATCCTCGCTGAAAGTCTCTGAATAAGTTTATTCACATTAGCTAAAGTGAGTCCTGTTGTGTGCACATCTAGTAAATCCTTAAGTTTATCAAAAGGATCCAACATCATTTCTACATGGTCCTCATGTATGTCCAGTTCAGCCTTATAGACACACGGAAAAACTACCAAAAGTAAAACACCAAATAACAGAGCCATGTTTTCAAGGAGGAATATAAAACTTGTTTATCCCTCAAAGGAAAAGGGTCCAAAACGTCCGGCTTTCTTTCTGTCTAGCACGAGTATGAGAATTTAAATCCACGCCCGTTTTGTCTGTCTGCTTGGATTGACTCTAGTGACACGCTATTCAATGACGTTACCCCCGACAGTTATAAACTCATCTGGGGACATGTCAACTGCATCGTGCAACCATGCGTGACAATGAATGTGCGTAGATTACTACACCTGAACAGTAATTGACATCAGGTAATCAGCAGGTAACAATATATTGTATTCGTGTTCACTCATAATGTTCTTCTTTGATTAGAAAGCGGATAGCAGTACATTTAAAGAACAGGAATAAAATTAATATGGTGTAATAAGAGAGGTTAACCCGCTGATTAATACAATTCGTCATGAATATTAACAGATGAATGTAAAGAATTCATTGGACTGACGAATCTACTTGATAAATCATTCATTCTAGAACAGACATATGTAAATGTTTTAAAGAAAAAATAAAGGATAATATGTATCCACTATGTAATTTATTCAGAATTTTAGCTTTCTTATCAATTTAGTTTGGAAATACATCATCCTTTATTTTCATTTCTCCTTATTTTAGGTAACATGTTTATAAATTAAAAAATAATTCCAAAGTTAATTAAGCTTTTATACATGATATATAGAAAATAAATGCAATCTTTAGAATTTTTAAATCTCAAAAGTGGTATATATATTAAGAGGAGAACTTTGCAGATGAGATGGGTAATATCAAAGAAAGAATTATATTAATGACTTTAAATCTATGTTTTACTATGGGAAACCCCAAATTTGTTTCCGATTAAAGCCAGACACAACACAATGGCAGTTATCTTCGCTAGCCAAGTGTCCGATTCGTTTCCCTATGAGGGAGACGAATCGGACACTTGGCTAGCGAAGATGGATGGCAGTATGCTATAAAGATTCCATGAAAGTCTGATAAAATTTCATTCAGTGGTATAGGAGCAGTTACAGATTAGAGATATTATATATAATATATACATATTATGTTAAAAGAACAATTTTGTCCATGTTTTACTGTGGGAAACTAGACGCATCTGTGCGATCAAAAACAGAAGAAAAATTGTGCGCACAATGTCATGATCAATATGAGTTTTAAATAAAGATTCTGCGAAATTCTCATAATTATTAATTCATACAGTGGCATTGGAGGATTTGCGGATAAAAGATGGATGTCCAGTGTTATATAAAGAATGGCCAAGGCCGTAACTAGGCTAAAATTTTTATTGAGGCAAGGTTGTTGGGCATTCCTAGACCCCAGACGGCCAGTGACAGGGGTTTCCAGGGAAGGGGATCATGAAACCTGGGTATACCCTTTGATTTTCTAATATATTAAAAAATCAAATATTTAATCTTAGAAAGATTTTACGTTTTGAATTTTCGCCCACATGGCACAGTGGTTAGAGCGTATGCTCAAGAGTCGCAGACTAAGGAGTTGATCCTTACATCGCGGGTTCAAATCCCACTGCGGGATGTAGAGACCGGTCCTTTGGATGAACCGAGGTCCTATGTCACGATAATTGAATAAGTGTTCAATCATCTTCAGTGACCCTGAAAGCCAGAACAGATTTAAAACTTGCTGCTCTCCATCGGCTAGTAGTGGTGCATGTCTCAATATGAATGAGAAATTCTTAGAAGAGATGTTAAACAATCAAACAATTTACAAAACAAATATTTTGAATTATTTTATGTTACATTCTAAATGAAAATGATCGAGGCACCTGGTGAGTTGAACGATTTAAAAAAATGAAAAGAAAAGTTGAAAACACGCATAATTCATAAGTTCAATGTAAAAAAAATTTCACTTTTCAGAAAATTACAAAATTTAGTGAGGCATTTGCCTCACTTGCCGCAATGGTATTTACGGCCTTGATGGCTTTTGTCCATGCTTTGCAATGAGAAGCCCAAATACAATATCTGAAAAGAAAAATAAGAGATGCATGACACAATGGACCAACTTAAATAGGTACAGAAAGACACCCTCATTACTATGTGTGTCTTAAAGATAACCACCCTGTCGTACCCTAAAAGGAAATAAATGTTTGAAACAATAAATTGATTGTGGCTAAGAAAAGCTATTTTTAAAGATCTTACACGAACTTATCTCTCCTCTGACAGAAAAATTAAAAAATAAATATATCGCTTTCGTGAATTATACAAAAAGATTAAAAAGCCCCCCCCCCAAAAAAAAAACAAAAAAAAAAAACATAAGAATTATGAAGGGAAAGAAAATTCCGCGATCAAAATGTATAATTCAAAGAGGGGACAAGAGGTAAAGAACATAGCACAGGAAGACAAAAATAACCTGGGGATCAAGATACAGACAGAAACGGTGATTGAGATGACTCCTACCACCTTCAGTCGGGTATTCCGGAAAATATCAGGCGTTTTAGCAGAAAAGTGCAATGTTTCTCGATTTATTCTTCCGTGATTTTCTGTCAATACATGTATATATAATATGTTTTGAAGAGAACTACTGTTCTGCAGCAAATCAAGCTAGTAAATTATTACTTTTATAAGTCCCAGAGAAACTTTAGGTTGTAAATCACATGTGGATTCTCAAAAACTTGAAATAACTTTTAGAGAATTACAAAGTTATCAAAAGTTAATTTTAACATCAAAACGACTTTTCTTTACATTTTATTCAACAATTTTTTTTTCAAGACAAATTAATGTGACGAATTATCTATATAGGCTTAGTATTTGCTATGAAATAAAATAATGTGCGATGTTTTTCGATTTATCCTGTGTGTTTTTCTACTTGCCATCTCAAAATATTACAAACCAGGTGTTCCTAACATATTGTTTTACTAATTCATACAACAAAACAGATATCGGTGGTCTCACTTATACAAGCCCAGGAAGGCCATCAACAACATTTTTAGCTCTACTGGTCAGAGACCAGAAGAGCTTATGCGATAGTAATGCGTCCGGCGTCCGTCCGTCTGTCTGTCTGTCTGTCTGTCTGTCCGTCTGTCTGTAAACAATTTTTCAAAACGCTACTCCTCCTACAATTTAAGTCTGATTTCAGTATTACTTGGCATACAAGTAGACTACACTAAGATACATAGAATAGTGCATCGGTTTTTAATTTCGATGAATGGTGTTGCCATGGTTACTAAAAATAGAATTTTCTGTGAAATTCCTTTAAAACGCTACTCCTTCTATAGTTTTGGTCTGATTTCAATATAACTTGGCACACAAGTAGACTACACTAAGATACATAGAATAGTGCATCGGTTTTTGATTTCGATGAACGGTGTTGCCATGGTTACTAAAAATAGAATTTTCTGTGAAATTCCTATAAAACGCTACTACTTCTACAGTTTTGGTCTGATTTCAATATAACTTGGCACACAAGTAGACTACACTAAGATACATAGAATAGTGCATCGGTTTTTGATTTTGGTGAACGGTGTTGCCATGGTTACTATAAAAAGAATTTTCTGTGAAATTCCTTTTACTCCTTCTACAGTTTTGGTCTGATTTCAATATAACTTGGCACACAAGTAGACTACACTAAGATACCTAGATTAGTGCATCGGTTTTTGATTTCAATGAACGGTGTTGCCATGGTTACTGAAAATAGAATTTTCTGTGGAGTTCCTTTAAAACGCTACTCCTAAAATCTACAGTTTTGGTCTGACTTCAATATAACTTGGCACACAAGTAGACTACACTAAGATACATAGAATAGTGCATCGGTTTCTAATTTTGATGAATGGTGTTGCCATGGTTACTAAAAATAGAATTTTCTGTGAAATTCCTTTAAAACGCTACTCCTTCTACAGTTTTGGTCTGATTTCAATATAACTTGGCACACAAGTAGACTACACTAAGATACATAGAATAGTGCATCGGTTTTTAATTTTGATGAACGGTGTTGCCATGGTTATTAAAAATAGAATTTTCTGTGAAATTCCTTTAAAACGCTACTCCTAAAATCTACAGTTTTGGTCTGACTTCAATATAACTTGGCACACAAGTAGACTACACTAAGATACATAGAATAGTGCATCGGTTTCTAATTTTGATGAATGGTGTTGCCATGGTTACTAAAAATAGAATTTTCTGTGAAATTCCTTTAAAACGCTACTCCTTCTACAGTTTTGGTCTGATTTCAATATAACTTGGCACACAAGTAGACTACACTAAGATACATAGAATAGTGCATCGGTTTTTGATTTCGATGAACGGTGTTACCATGTACTAAAGATAGAATTTTCTGTGAAATTCCTTTAAAACGCTACTACTTCTACAGTTTTAGTTTGATTTCAAAATAAGCTGGCACACAAGTAGACTACACAAAGATACATAAAATAATGCAATGGTTTTTGATAAATACAAACCAGTAGAGCTACAGTCTCGACAGAGACTTCTGGTTAAGGAATGTTTTGTTGTGTGAATTTCTAGGATTCTAAACGATAGACCAAATTACCTTGTCACCCAAAATCGCAGTACCAGATACCTAGAAATTCAGTATACCCGGCACGTAGGTAGGTATTTCTTTTAAAGAAATGGGCAGATCACGTGGATAGGCGATAACCTGTCCAATTCTCTAAAGAGAATAGGTAGGACAATGGTACACTTAACTCACCTATCGTCTCTGGAATGTTAAAAGTATAAATGAATGAAGTGTTATTTTGAAGAAAATGCACTGTGAGTTGCATTTTAGATGTAGATTGAAGAATTTAAGACGATGTGCACTTATATTATCAATTTCAATTAAGTGTGCAGTTTTGCAATTACGTCACAACCAATGATGACAGCTGCGCTCAAAGTACACGCCTCCTAACCGCAAGCTTTACGACTGGAACTTTCTTCTAATCCCTGATTGGTTGCTCGTGCAACAGACTATTTCCGTGTCAATGTTTATAATATTAGTTGACCAGTCACACAGCGGGGCGTGAATTGTTTACGCTGAATGCATTTGTCGAAAAAGATCGTGACTTCATGAAAAACTGCACACTTAACTGAAATTAATAATATACATGTATAATACAATGAGTCCTATTGTTACAAGCGTTGTGTGCTGGCAACCGGTGACCATCAATGCTGGGTCGTCTAAGAAATTTTATAGTGATGAACTCACTCGATATTTCACAAGAGGTCAACTGTTATTGAATTCACTGACAGCCAAAACTCTACAAGAAGCCATCGACGATTTGAATGATGTATACGAATCGGACGACGAAAAGGACGATGGTCATGACGATGATCACTCAGGTGAACATACAGACGGCGACAATGACCATTCTCATGAGCACAGCGATGAAATGACGACAAAAGAGTAGGTGTTTAAGATTTATCTTATAATTAGAACGTAAAGAAGCACTATAAATAGCTTTTGTACGTAAAGCCATAAAGGGACCATTACTAGATTTTCAACCCGAAACATAAACACGTCCCGGAATTAAAATTGCACCAACAATGAAATCATGTTCAGCGTTAACTTTTATAAAGGTAAAACTCACGACTTTTAAGATTTAATGGCACTTCAGGTAAATCATCAAAAATATCACTCACAGATTGTGAAAGAAATTGGATTCATAAAATTGTCGTAAAACATATATTACAAGCTTAAGGACAGATGATACAAACAAATTTTTTCTTTGAAAAAGATTTAATATCATGTCACAAGTTTAGAAAAGTGGATAATTCTTAGAATATTTTCTCCTAAGAACTGGAAAATTAAATAGACTAGGAAAATATTAGTAATATTTCAATAAAAATCAAATATTGACAAATCACATTCAGTAAAGGTTTACAGGTGAAAACAAATTTCAAAATATCTTACCTTGGCGCTAAAAGTGTAATATAAACCTTAGAAAAATATACCAAGCCGGGTGAATTTTAAGAGGAGGAACAAAATGACAAAAAATTAGCAATATTACATAGGCTGATTTTTACAATTTATCTTTTCCTAATAAAATTCACCTGGCTTGGTATATTTTTCTTCAGTTTATATTACACTTTTAGCACCAAGATAACATATTCTGAAATTTGTTTTCACCTGTAAACCTTTACTGAATGTGTTTTGTCTATATTTGTTTTTTCATTGAAATATTACTAATATTTTCCAAGTGTTTTTCATAATCCTGTTCTTGGGGGAACACAATCTAAGAACCATCTACTTTTCTAAACTCGTGACATGATATTTAATCTTTTACAAAGAAAAAAAATGTTTGTATCATCTGTCCTTAAGTTCACCGTATATATGTCGAAAAAAACTTTAAACTTTTAATGGGAATATTTTGTAATTTTAGAGGCATGAATTTGCTGATAAAAGTTATTTAAGAATAAAAAAAATGCTGAAAATATATTCCTGTTGAATTGATTTTAAAAAGAAATTTTTGTTGAGTTTAAGAAAAGATAACTCTTATAATTTCAAGTGTTTAAGAATATCTTAATTCTAAATAATGTTAAACCAAAATTGTACATTTAATCTTGGAATTTTTCCTCCCATTTCATAGTGGCCATACTGATGACCATGGCCATGATGATCATGATAACGATCACGTGACAGCCCCTACCATGGTCCATGATGACCAATCGACGGAGTCGGTTCACGATAGCCATGAACATGACGATGACCATGATAGCCATGAAGCGGACAGTCATGAACATGATGATGACGTCCCCAAAGTCAACCTTCATAAGACTAAAGTTAGTGGAATGCATTTTAGTTCTATAAAGTGAAAATGAGCCTACAAATTGCATGTCACGCTCAAGGAGTTGGTCCCGGGTTTAAGTTTTTCCAAGAGGTTCTAAATGTTTGAGCTCAAACGTGTACATTGTAAACTTGGTGAAGAACCTAGAATAGACACTACAATATTTATTGAAGACCGCTGTATCTGATCTGTACTTTCTTGATAAGTGACTATTATATTTTTCGGGCAAGTCTGTTCTCAAGTATATCAATAAACAATATACACGTACCGAACATTCAAGGTTTATTAGGAAAAGTCTAAAAAGAACATTAATTTATGAAGATTATTTTAACTCATGCTCTGATGCTTTCTTCCTGCAGTGTTTGAGTGCAGGTCGGCTGTATGATGAGATGTACAAAGATCCGCTAGAGGACGCGTTTGGTGATGAGCACGATTTAGAGGCCCTGTCCCAGCTGCTCCTCTATCACATGCTGTCAGGTATGTGTTTGTACTATTAGTTATGTGATAGTATAGATTTATATTTATTTTATTGGTATTGTTTAAATAAAATAAATTATTGAGAACTTAATTTTCAATTATTACATAAACAAGTTTCCATATTTTAAGTTATTTATTAATTTAAGTCATTCATGGGTTTCCATAGGTAGTGTAGTATGTTGTTCATGGTTCATTGGTTTTTATTCCTGGTTGGTTGATTTTAAGTGTCAAAGGTGAAAGTCTTAGAGGGTATAGTAATATTGGGATATTTGATTTCCATTCCTGTTTTGTACATTGATTGGGTTGATATAAGTTTTGCATTGGACTCTACTGACATTGACAGAAAAGTAAGACATTATTTATTAATCTTTATTAACCTGTGAGAATGTTGATTGTGTGATAAATATAAAAATAGAATTTATTTAATAGCGAGCGCAGCGAGCTCAATAGACTAACGTGTAAGAACAGAGAAAATTCGGATTGAAATCTGTACATACGTCAGCCAAATTTCTCTGTGCAACATTCCCAGAATTCCTGCACTACCCAATGTCCTTTGCGCGAATAAATCAAAAATAGTAAAAAAAAATAAAGGAAAATTGTTTCTTACCGAAATCTTAACGAAATGATTTTGCCTTACCTTATTCAAAAAAATACCCCCATGCCACAACACTGGCCTTCACCTTGCCCTTCGGAAATAATACATATGACGTCACCGGAAACTTACGAATTTTGACGATATGCTAATTAAGTCATGTCGATTGCTTCCGTGAAATAGATAAATAAATAAACAATAACGTAAAGCATAAAAAGCTATCAGTTTGTAGATATCTTTCAAATAAACGAAAAAAAACTCTGCAATGTTTTTCGACCAAAATTGTACTAGGTCTACAGTTTAAACTAGACGCTCGGCCGTTTCCGTAAGCTCCGACGAGCTCCGTGACGTCGTGTGACGTCACAGCTAGTCGAGATGTCTCGTGCGACTTGATGTTTGAAGTGGCTGATCAATTTTTCAAGTGTTTTGATGGTACAACTGCGCTCGCCTCAACGGTCACACCGTAAAACATATTATTTTACATTTTTGATGAAATCAATATATAATACAATAATTGGTTTTAGGGGGTTTCCTAGCCATAGCTGTAGTCACACATATATATAAAGAACAATGGTTCTGATACCATATATCTGGTAAGATCAATGTTTTATGTGTTGAATTTGTTTGTGGTGTTTGATTGTGTTTTCTGTGTGAACAAATTGTTTTGCACTCGTCTGATGAGTTTGAGAAATATTGATTTATTTGTTTAATTTGATACAATATTGATTTTAAATTATAATTGGGAAAAGCTAGAATGATTCAGTTTTATTATTCTATTTAAATTCATATTTATTTCATTTCAAGCTAATTGACTATCATTTGTGTTCAATTTTGAAATTGAGTTATTTCCCTTTGATGTGTGTTTTGTGTTGTAATGTGCATGCATGTTTATTTTTATGTTTGTGTGTATTTCAGAGCCTGTTGTTGTGTGTATGTGAGATAAATAAATTCATCTGTTACCACCATAGTTGTTTATTCCATTGGAAAACCGTAACAGAAATGGCGCCCACGTTGGGACTCAAGATGATGACGAAACCACCCACCGGTAGAGGTCCAAATTCACTAGGAGCCTAACCGGAAGTGACTTACCGGAAGCGGCCCTGATTGACAATAACAACAACACGTGAACTGAGAAAACAAGTAAAGCTGTTTTATGTGAGTCAGTTGTGATGAATATTTTTGTTCTTAGTTTATTTTAAGAGCTACAGGTATAGCTCTGTGACTTTGTTGTGTCAATTAACAACACAAGTGTTGAACTTCGGTTATATTCCTGAGTAATAAGCAGGACAATCCATTTCGAATTTGCTTTGTGTATATATAACAAGACATAGACTATAGTGATTCTACAAAACAGTGGTTGGAGTCAAATGGATTTGGCCATACAGTAACAACATTAGTCTGTCTGTCTATAACTTGTGTGTATTTGATCCTTGTTTATTTACATGTAAACACATTCTGAATTGTCTTAGAAATTTTGACATCTGACTGAATGGTACATTTGTTTACAACTTGAAATACTTGTGTCATGTTTTCAAATCAAGTTTAATATCAGATGGTATTTCATTAATTGTTTTGAAACATTAATTGAATTGTAAAGACAAAGTGAAAGCAATTTTTTTTGTCTGTCAGCTGCAGCATAGTATAATTTATTTTCCTTAAACAAAAGAAGTATCAATTAATTTTTGTTTATACTTTAAATTCAAATTTTAAATTTTGGGGTAAATTTATTGAAAGAAATTTGAGAGAATCCGAAGTGAAAGAGCAATTACTAGTTTACTAACTTGGACAGTAACATACCTGAATGACATAGACATAAGTATTGAAGTTCAGAGTTTTGTCGTGGAACCGAGCTGGTTAAGACAATAAACTCATAAATATAAATGAGGCTGGCGCCTTACCTTAATCAGGCGACAGCAAGCAACATCAAACAAGGTAAATGGTAATAGTAAAGGGGGTGAGTCCAGGTAACATCAATGGTAAACAAACGGGTATCAAGGTATCAGGTAAGGAATAGTGTTCACACTTAGGAATCAGGACCAGGACTGAAGCTTCAGTATTGGTAATACGGGGTATCACGTGACATACCCCGTATATGGATAGACCAGGGTCAGAGGTCATAACATTAGGGAGAATGTAAACATAGCAATTTCACTACATTCCTCCCCGTTTTATTTAACAGGTTTTCGTTATAAATACATATACATAAAATACGTTAATTACACTATTAACATATTTATAGATAATAACAATAAATACACTATTCTGCAGTAATTTGATCGGAAAACAATCCAGACCTATAATTTTGCAGCAAATAACATAATATATGACATTCCACATGAACTTAGTCGGAAGATAATCCAGACCTGTAATTCTGCAGGAATAGTCCTCTATATATATCATCTAACAATTATAGAGACGACGGCTATTCTTAACAGTTTCCTTCAGTAGGTACTGCACGTTAACTTGTAGTTTTGATGCAACATCGGCGGCAACGTCTCCAATGAACGCGGGGGTGTTTACAGTTCCTCCTCCTGGTTTCATGTATGGGGAATCTGTTTCCACAAGCAAGCGGCTCATTGGGACGGACTGCAAACCGGCAACTTGATCAGCACTAAAGTTCGTCACAGCACCTGTGAATCCAAAATAGACGTTAGAATAGTTATCCATCCATTCCTTGACTAATTCAGGGTCACCAGTGAAACAGTGAAGATGTATAGGTTGGTCTGGATCACACGATTTCCTAAGTAGTTGGATGCAGCGTGCGTGTACATCCATCCCAATCCTGTCTGCAGCTATTCCACGCAAGTGAAGGACAAGGACTTTATCCTTACGGGTCAACTTGAGCACTTGGCGGAAAACTTCATCTTGATGTCTCCACAGCTTCACAGGGACAGTTCTGTCAAGTCTGATCTCACCTAATGCCACCACATATGGATTGTCCAACAACTTCTTCATATGGAGGAATCTATTTGGTGTCAACTCATCAACATGCTTGGGATGAACTCCTAGAGCTATCCTCCAAGGACCATGCATATCCGCAAGTTTGGGGTGTGTTGATGGCTCACTATAGACAGCTACTCCTCCTAAAACTGTTACGTCGAGGTTAGGACGCAGAGCGCTGGAATAGGAGTAAGATAGTAAATCCTCCACAGTTTTCCCTGAAGAAACTTTCCATATGCGGGAACAAGTCCGGTCAAGATGAAAATGACTGTCGAATGCTTCTAACAGGGAAGATGACTGAGAACTGCAAATCTCATGAACAATACATGGGTCACTCTGAGATACTGGTAGAGGTTGTCCACATCAGACCCATAACAGACATCAATACACGTAAGTTCATCTTCCGTTGACGAGTCAACAACCGGAACTTGAGTCTCCTCGGTATCTGGAGTACCAGTAATGCCCCCTGTAACACGTCCATATGTACGAAATTCTTCGCGCTGCATGGGATGCAAAGGTGACAGAAGTACTACCAAACACCTCCAGTGAAAAAGGGTTGCTGGTGAGTTAAGTGGCGCTAATGTGAAACCCTCAGGTGGCTCTAACCATCCTTGATATCTACACAATCTCTGCATATAGATGACGGTGTCAGGATGAAGAGTGGTACCCCGGGTAAGAACTCCTGAGCGGTTCACATAATCCATGGCAGAGAGTAAATCAGCATCATGTCCTAGAACGCTTTTTACCAAAGATTCCAACGCTGAGTACTGCAGCTGGGCCAAAGAGGATTGGTCCAAGGAACGCAGTGGTCTTATGTCGCTGAAAATCTTAGGAAGGTGACTACGCTGAACATGACGCTTGATCTTCTTATCCCTCTGTCCACAGTCTGGAAATGGGCATTTCTGAAAAGATGGGTTGTCATTTTGTAGAGCTACCGTCACTCGAAGATTAGGGTCAAGTCTCGGTCGTTTAGCAGACTGTTCTGTTTCCTGGACTCTGCGTGCAGAATTCCTTCCAGATAATCTAACAGGAATAGTCTTTGGACGCTGAGTACACTCGACGACTGGCTCATGACGGTCGCAATCCGCCGTGTCATGTGCTTCGGATAACTCCGCCGCTTCATGCACTTCGGAGCACTCCTGATCCGCTGTGTCACGTGCTACGGATAATTCCGCCGCTTCATGCACTTCGGAATCGTTCCCTACACACTCCTCCCCCATCACCATAGGCTTCTCCACGGTAGAAGGTTCAGAAGGTTCCATAGCATTCTCTCGCACAACTCCAAGATCCGGGTTGGACATTAATCTTATGTTAACGCACATGGACGATGAGTTGGCTGACGAAACAGTTGCTGATGTAAGCCTCCTTTTCCTCAGTGGCTTGGATCTACGTGATAGTGATGGAAGGTTGTCTTCAACCCACCTCCCTGAGCATAGAATGGTAACAGCTTCATGCCTTGTCGCCTCAATCCCTCTATTTCTCCTATATCCTGGCCAATCTACTGGTACAATTACGTCGCAAATGGTCTGGTGAGAAGTTCCATCACTCAACAGGGCTAGGTCGTAAATCAACTTCTTCCAAGACTTCTGTTGGCGGTTTTCCTCCTCACAAAGTCGACGTAATGTTCTCCTCTGTTTTGACGAATGGTGGACTTTTCCGATTTCCAGGATCTTTTGTTAGATGACATCCACAAATATACTCAATAATATAAATACAATAATATAAGGGGGTATAACATACAAAAAGACAGACAGACAGGGTGATCCAGAAGGACTTTTATATATATAATATTTTAAAGTGACATGACCCTGGTCTTATAAGATGGTCCCCTTCTTCATCAAATGTAATAAAATTAAATAACGTAAGTATACTGTTCTATCAGCGTTGCAAATGCCAAGCATATAACATTATACTGATTTGATCAGAACCATATGTTATTTAATAAACATATATACAATTATACATTTATATTATTGACTCACTGGTTTGTTAACTACTTAGTCACATTTCGGACAAAGGTAGTAAGCTAATTTATCTGCTGCTTCTTTCGTGAGGCTTACGCAGGAACCGTGGTACCATTCACGACACTCATCACATTGAATCATAAATGAACCCGTATCAGGACCGCGGCAAATACAAAACTGATTCGTTTCAGCCCTAGTATTTGACGGTGTTTTGTCAAGGATTTTACGGATCCAATCTGGAACTTTGCGATCTTTACAAAGTTTAATTCGATCATGATTCATGATTAAAGTTTTCCCGCGAAGCTTGATTTCATACAAATACGCAGATAATTTTCTTACTACTACTCCAGGCCCTTTCCAAGGAGGGGTTAATTTTCGACACTTACCCTTCACTGTCGCCGTATCAAGAACATAGACTACATCTCCAACTTTATACGATCTTTCTAATACTTTTAGATCATAGTCACGTTTCAAGATACTTTGCGTAGTTTTCAGGGTATTCCTAGCTGTCTCATGAGCAAGTGTGATAGTCCTGACCAGATTAGCTAGGTATTGGTCCATATCCTGATATTGCGGCCCTCCTGGTAATGGGTAGAGTAAGTCAAAAGGTTGTGCGATTTCACGACCAAGCATCAGCATGTTAGGCGTAAACCCAGTACTACGGTTCACACAGGATCTCAGTGCACCGGCAATTTGGGGTATGCTTTCATCCCAGTCCACTGGCGTTTTGGATACGAAGCATCTTACAGCATCCATTAACGTTCTGTTGAAGCGCTTTACTTGCCCGTTTGCAGATGCTCGATAGGGAGTTGTCCTAGTTTTATTGATGTTGAGTACTTCACAAAGATCCGAAAACAGTTTGTTGTTGAAATTGGTTCCCTGGTCTGTAAATATTTGTATAGGGTAACCAAATCTTGTGAAGAACTCATTCACTGCAGCTCGTGCTGTTACCTCTGTTGTCTGTGATGGCAGGGGAATACATTCGACCCATTTTGTAAACTGGTCTACCATCATAAGGATATACGAATTATTCCTTGGTGTAACAGGCAACGGCCCCAGGAAATCTAGGTGTACTCGTTCCATTGGTTCTCCTGCATGAAATTTGGTCATGCTGCATCTGGCGTGTCTTGATGGTTTTTTATTTCTGTTGCATGTGGCACATGATGCAAC